GACCCCTCGCCCAGAGCTCTCCTTGAGTGTGCGTGTGTGTGTGTGTGTGTGTGTGTGTGTGTGTGTGCGCGTGCATTGCGGATTCAATGTGTGTGTGCATGTGCATTGCGCCGGGGCCTCCTCTTCCTCCATCGTGCATTGCGGCATCAATTTGCATACAGAGCGCCCCCTGTTGCCAATCCGCGGGAGCAGTCACCCTTTGCCCAGCCGCCGACGCAAAAAGTGTGTGTGTCCTTCGGCCCTTTGCCCTTACCGATGGGCACGCTCTCACCGCAGCTGTCTCCTCCCTGCCTCGATTGTTCGGTCGCTCCTCGCTCTTGAAGTGGACTGGGTGTCGCTGCGTTTCCGCGCCTCCTGTACCTTCCAGGCGGTGCGCTTGCACCCGTTTGCATGTCGCGTTTCTCAGGTGCGCTGGCTTCGGCTCTCTTTTCTTTGCACGCGTCAACTACGATCTGGCCATTAACAGCGAAGGCTTGGTGGTAATTGATCTAGGCGTGTTCAGCCCTAGCATTTGCTGCGTTGGACCAGCTGGTCGCTGACAAAAAATGTGCGTGTGTGTGTGTGTCCGTGTGTCGTGCAGGTTCGTCTGGCGGTGCATTGTGGGCTATGTTGTCGTCGACGCTCTCGCTGGTTGGTTCACCACCCAGGTCTGCATTTGCTTGGTGCAGCACAGAGGGGCAGACATGCTGATCACGCCGCTCTCTGCTGGAGTCATGTGCTATTGGAGCCAGGGCTGTCACCACCGTCATCCTTTTTCGGTCCATTGCATCTCCCTGCGTACCACTCAACGACGGATCTGCATGTTTGTGCGACGGGCGGACTACTGGATTGTTTGTCAGGGAGATACTGCATAGGTATTTTGCCCCAACTGCGGTGGGGGCGTTGGTTAAGGTATGCGCCCAGGAGGCTGCGGACCCTGGAGGATTCCTTATCTGATGAGGGCGGCGGTGATATCCATGGCCATGCTTCGATTGGAGTTCCACCACCCTCCAGATACTGGATTCCTTATCTCAGGGTTTCTCATCCAATGACCCCACCGTAAGCCGTTTCGGCGCGAGCTGATCTACCTGAGCTGGCGACAGCTCGCGTTTGTGCTCACTTACTTCGAAGCGGCGTAGTGGGCACGAGCCAACTCACGACGACGGCTCCTCCCGCGGCAGCCCGCGGGCCATGGCGCCGGCACAATTGGACCCTGCTGGTATCATCCCAGGCGCGAAGCAGACGCCTCTCTGGTCCTGCTCCTGCGGCTGTGATGGGAATTGGGCGTCCAGGATCCGCTGCCGCCAGTGCAGGAAGGCGGCTTCCACCAAGGTGGTACAGGCAGCCAAGCGCTCGGCAGCAGCAGCAGAAGGGCCAGCACCCAGCACGTCTCGCCCGCGCGGGGCCTGGGCGCAGGGGCCGCCAGGACAAGGGCAGCTTCTGAAGCAGCTGCAGAGGCTGCAGAAGCAGGTGGCTGAGCTCAAGGGCGAGGCCCCGCCGCAGTCGAAGCCCTGGAAGGAGCGCAAGCCCCCGTCCAAGAAGGCTGCGGTGGAGGGCCCTGGCATCTCCTACAAGGACGTTGTCACCTTCTTGGCGAAGGAGGGGCTCGACACCAGCGCGGTGGAGGCAGCAGAGAAGGCGGCGGAGTCGAAGACGCTCGAGAGCAAGCAGCCTTCGGCTCAGACGCAGCGCTGGCGGGTCAAAGCCATGCGCGACAAGATCAAGAAGCTCGAGACCCGAGAGGCCGCCATTCAGGAGCAGCAGGCCGCCCTCGACAAGGAGCTCCAGGAGCTCAAGGTCTCGATCGAGGAAGAAAACCAGAAGCTCACCGAGGGGGAGGCCAAGCTGGTCAAGCTCCAGGCCAGCGAGTTCCCCGACCCGATCCAGGTGGTCGCAGCGGGCTTGGACGAGGACGTCGCAGCCAGCCAGGAGGCTAAGGACGCCCTCGCAGTCCTCGCCCGTCTGCAGTCCGCAGCCAGCGACAGCAAGAAGGCAGCGGCCGCCGCCAGGGATGCTGCTGCTCCTCCTGGTGCTGCTGCTGGGGCGGCAGACGCAGGCGGTGAGCACACACCAGTGCCAGAATCAGACGACATCGACATGGGGCTGCTTGGAGGCGAAGGCTGGGAGGAGAAGCGCGAGGAGTATGCAGCAGCCTCAGCAGCCCTCAGGGAAGCGGCCCCGAGCAGCGGGAGGAGGCGAAGCGCAAGCTGCGTGACGCTCTGGACGCGCTCTGGGCTGCAGGCAAGCGGCCGCGGCGCCTTTGAGCCCAGGCCCATAGAGTGCCTGGATGAGCAGAGAGGCCATGGGACAGGCTGCCCGCCGTCTAGACGCGGGCCCATTTGTAAGAGTGGTTTGCTCGTCCAGGATGGGGAGGCGACTGACTTGGGAGTGAGTCGCCCCACGGACCTCGTCTTCGAGGCGTCGAGCCGCCCCCAGCCTCGGGCTAAGGCGGCAGGAGCGGCGGCGCACGGCGCGGCCGTGGTGCTCCAGCTGGCCAAGTTGGTGCGGCCTGTGGCGAAGCAGGGCGCCAGCATCCTCAGCATCAACGGCTCCACGTGGGCGGAGTCCCAGACGGCCCTCGAGATGCTGTTGGACGCGAAGGCCAGGGACGACGTGTACCTCATCCAGGAGACGCGGTTCACCTCGGCGCTAGCTGAGGGCTCGGCCCGAGCCCGGTGCAAGAGGAACAGCATCAACGCGGCCTTCGGCGAGTGCCGCAGCACAGGGACGGCTGTTCAAGCCGTCTCCTCAGGTGTCGCCGTGCTTGTCGGTGAACATCGCGGAGTGGCCAGGATCGACCAGACCTGGGGCCAGCACGCCTCCAGGATAGTGGCGAGGCGCGTCGCCTTCGGGGACCTGGTGGCGGTGTGCGTGAGCCTGTACCTGCAGTGCTCGGTCAAGCTCAATGAAGCCAACGTGGACCTCTTGAGCGAACTGCAGGGCTTCCTCCTTGGCCTGAGCGAGCCCTTCGTTGTGGGGGGAGACTGGAACTTGGAGCCCAGCCTCCTCAGCAGCTCGTGGTGGCCACGAGCGGTGGGAGCAGTGATAGTGGCGCCCGATGAGCCGACGTGCGGGGAGAGCACGTACGATTTCTTCGCGATCTCGGACGCACTGGCAGGGCTAGGGCCGAAAGTGACGGTGCTCAGACAGGCGACGACGTACCCGCACATCCCAGTCAGGCTCACCTTTGAGAAGCTGTGCAGCCAGGCAGGGGTCTGGGTGCAGAAGGGCCCCAAGCCGTTCGAGCTGCCAGGAGCGAAGCAGGAAGGGATCCAGCCTGAACCTGAGGAAGAGGACTCCCTAACGGACTGGAAGGCGCCGCTCCTGGACGAGTGCGGGAGCCCGAACGAGGCGATCAAGGAGTTCTTCGACAAGGCCGAGGGGCGCCTGCTCCACCTCTTCGGCATCAAGGACGGGGGCAAGTACCGTGGCAGGGCGCAGGGGCCCAAGAGGGTGCCCAAGCAGCTCATCCACCTCCTGCGCTCGGAGGAGGTGCGCAGGACCAGCCCGCTAACGCGATGCTGGATTACATTGGGGCGCCTGGCCACTCAGCTGGCATCCGCGGCTGCGGTGCCCCACCCTTCGCCCAGACACCTCAAGCACGTCAAGAGACTGCATGCGGCCGCCCTTGACCTGGCCCCCAAGTTCGAGGCACAAGGCTGCGAGATGTTCGGCGGCAACAAGATGTCGACGCTGCTGGCGGAGATCGCGGACAGGTCGGAGCAGGGCAGCCTTTTTCCTCCAAGCCATCAGCGCCACCTCGGAGGTCAAGCGCAGGGAGGACGTGAAGCTGGCCAGGCAGCGCTGGAAGGACTTCATGAACGAGTCCCTCAGCGGGAACGGCAAGGGCGCTCACGCGATCAGCAAGCTGGGCAACCACGAGTCCTGCTCCATCCTCGGCCCTGAAGTAGTGGAGGCCCCTCCCCAGCCCCGCTGGTTGGACAGCAGGCCTTGGATAGGATTCTTGAAGAGTGGAAGGCGCTTTGGCACAAAGAGGGCTCAGCCAGCGTCCGACCCGAGAACTGGGACGACCACTTGGGGTTAGACGCCATCACGGAGGACGAGGTGCTGGCTGCGGCGAGGTCCTTTCCCAGGAGGACGGCGCTGGGTTGGGGCGCCTTCCGCCCCAGGCTTATCCTCAGCCTTGGCAGGGAGTACGCGGCCAGGCTGGCAGCGATCTTGACAGCCTGGGAACGGCGCCCCAAGCCGTCGGAGCTGTTCACCACGATCATCGTCTTCTTGGGGAAGCCCGACGGGGGGCGCCGCCCGATCGGGCTCCTCTGCAGTTGGCTGCGAATTTGGAGCCGCATCAGGCGCAAATGCTGTGCGGGCTGGGAGAGGGGCCACAAGCTCCCCGAGTACTGTGGGGCAGACCCAGACACCAGCTGTGACAGGGCGGCATACATTCACAACCTTCTGCTCGGTCTGGCGAGAGAAAAGAACTTCGAGGCTGCGTCCGTCTACTTCGACATCAGCAAGTTCTGTGAACAGATCAACCACGAGCTGCTCCTCGACGCGGCGAGGGGCTGCGACTTCAACGCGGGGCTGATCCAGGCGCTTTGCGTGCTGTACTCAGGCCCCCGCAGGGCCAGGGCCGACCTGGCCCTCAGCGAGCAGCTGGACATCGACGACACCGTCATCGCGGGATGCTCCTGCGCCACGACGATGGCGAGGATTATGCTGTGCGACCTCCTGCTAAAGTCGAGGAAGATGCTGCCGATCGGAAGGGTGGTCAATGTCATCGACGACATCTCGGGCCACGGCATTGGCACACGCAGGCTGGTCGTCGAGCAGATCGCCAGGTTCGCCAAGGGAGTGGCCACCATGCTGGGAGACAAGAAGCTCCCCATCAACTGGAAAAAGACCAAGGCACTGGCCTCCTCGGCGAGTCTGAGGAGAGCTTTGCAGAAGCACGCCGACTGGGTCCTAGCCGACGAAGCCTTCGTCTCGGGACACCGCGACCTTGGAGGGGATGCGACGGCTGGCGGCCACCGCAGGGTCGAGACGCAGGTGTCCAGGGA